TCATATTTTTAAGAAAGTTGCAGTAATCCATTTTAAATTATAAAAACTGCTTTTAGTGATACTGAAACTTTTTAGGCCGATGCAGTTTATTTTCCATGTAATACTCCATGTAATGTCCATGTGTCGAAATTAATTACTTACCACTGTTTTTAAAATCCATAGTGAATGGAAGTTGTTAGACCTTCGCAAACGAAAGTCCTCTGACATCTCTCGTACATTCCGGTATACAGAAGTCAGGAGGTCAACCATACGCATGAACATTAGGCGGGTCGATTCCAGTTTCAATAGAAATGAGATTGTATTAGTTGCATTATGGCTTGCTACCGTGAAGCACGAAGTGAAGGATGCGGAAGCGTAACAGCGTTAGACCAATCGGAGTTACGTCCAGCGACACACTCTTGTCTACATATCGCCAAAACCTCAACATTACGTAGAATCCGCAGTTGTATCCGTCTGTCTGGATCGGTCCATTGACGGACACAACTTTGAAGTCGTCGCTGAGCGTAGTAGCCAGATCCCACGACATGCGGTCCAGTACGTCCTTGTACGTCTTCAGGTTCATTGAGTCGTAGTACAGGACATTGTTCTGCTTGCCATCCACGATCATTGCACACCAATGCATGTTCCCAAAATTTACAGGAATGAGCAGTACATCCGCTTCAGTGAGTAGTTCCTGAACCTTTGTCTTCATTTTTTCACTCATAGATTTCTTCTTCTTTGACGCCGAGGCTGCCTCGACACCGACGATGCGAACGCCGGTGCCCGTCCTGTACAATCTCGCGCAAAAAGCCAAAATCAGGGCATCATTAGCCCATTGGGGCGGCTTATGACGGTACAGCATCGCGTAGTGGTAATCGTTGCCGTCAATTGGGATGGTATCTTGGGGATAGGCGCGAGCAATGGCCTCTGCCATGCTCTGAAGTGTCGATTGTTGTGCTGCTGGTATGGCGCTGGCTGCATCCTGTGTTAACCATTTGGTAAACGCCATTCCATCATCACACGAACGCTTCACGTTTGCTAAGTATGCCATGGCCTCAATCTGTTCGCGTGAAAATGTTCCGATACCCGCGATGTAGACACACTCGATCTCCGGGTTTTGTCCGTTGCTGTCCATGATTTGTCCAGGTATTGTAGATGTTTATTCGTCTTTTTGTGTAGTTTGACTCTGGGTGAGTACATCGATGGCTGTTTCATTGGTGTTGCTCACAGGCAGCACGGCAACGCACTTGTCCAACAGTTTGGGTGGAAGTAGGTAGAACGCGTTTTCATTCAGCACAGGCGCACTCTCTCTAGTGTACTTGGGTTTCTTGCTACCCGCGTTGTTGTACTTGGTTTGGAGTGGCAGAACACGACGTAGAGTGTCTTGAAGTGGAGGCTTCTCAAGTTGAAGACTGCGCGCAAGTTGTATTAATGTCACCTCTCCAAGACATCTTCTATGGGCTTCTGAATCGTTAAACAACGCTCGTTTCTTTTTGTCGTCTGCTTCTCTCTCCTTTCTGTTCAACCGGGGCCTACCAGACTTCGCAGCTTTGGAGTTTGCAGCCGCGCCGGAGGCTGCGGAAGCCGTGGTGTCGATATCTGAAGAGGAGTCGGACGATCCACCCTGTATTTACAAATAGATAACGCACGGTTAGAAACACGTTCACAGAGACCACAAACAGCAAGATAACGCACCTCAGACGTCGCGGAAGCGGGTAGACTGAGCGACATGGCCGGCGATTGCAGCAACGGTTGATCTCGTGACGTAGGCTGCGGCGTGCAGGTAACGGAGCGGCGGCGGCAATGCTCGAAGGGGGGCGAGTTTGGGTTTGAAAAGCAAATGAAAGGCTGGTGTGATTGGTACAACTACCGGTATACAGTATTGTACCGGTATTAACTACATAGATCACATCGTGGACAATACACGGATGAGAGTTGGACAATAATTGCACTCAACGACTGGGTTGTTTTATAAATTACCGAATGAAAATATTTTACATCATGGACATTACATGGAGTATTACATGGAAAATAAGCGGATTTGACGCATGGACTGTAGCATTTCCGAATTTTTAATTCAGACCCCTGGCAAGAGCCAACCGCGGTTCTTGCGGTGACATTCATCAGATCTCATCCTCAGTCACATGTTCAGCTGAAAGAATTCGAGAGCTCAACTCGTCACGAATTCCTTTATTTTGCTTGAGAAGACGTGCTACATTACGCGCGACGACTTGTTCTTTTGGGTATGCAGACGCACATCTCTTTATATTCAATCACATGGCCACGGTAGCCGCTCGTGGCGTCTCCGCTTCATTGGCGCGCTGATGGCGGCGTCGCCAATTCCTCTCAACGCAAGAATCAAACGCCTTGGCGACCGGGCGATGATTCACCGAATCCAGTCGGTGTTTGTTCTGTCGAGTTTTTCGCTCTCGCTGTCTTGCATTTGGTCTGGAGCGGGCATCACCGGAAGAAGCCACGCGTGGCCGCTGCCGCCGATCGAGCACCCGATGGCGAGCGCGCCTTTCACGCTGGAGCTTACTCCGTCTAGCTCAATCGTCAGCGCGACGGTTAAGGGATTCTCGGTCATCCACATCACCACTTTCACTACCCTCGCGGACACCTTGAAACGCGACCTTTGGTCGTCCATCCAAACTCGACCCACACCCAGCCGAGCGCACGGGCGATCCCATCCATCGCCACAAAAGAAGTGAGCGTTCGCCGACTGGCCCCCTTGGTGGTCGCCCAGTCAGCCCCTGTCAATCTGGAGCAAGCCCGCTGCTGAATCTCAATGGACATATTGGTAAGAGCGAGTCTCCAAAGTGTACCGGTTCACGTCGGTACTGGTATTACCGGCTTCAGTTTACCGGATTCTGTATTACCGACCGCATATCACAGCACGCCTTTCAGGCTAACTGCTATACCAGTAAAACTCTAGCGGCCCAGCTCTCTTGAATTTAAAAAACGCAATAGTCAAGAAATTGAGTGCATTTGTTATTTAAGCATAATATATGAGCAAAACAACCAAGTAAATACCTAAATAACAAATCTACTAAAATGTTATTTAAGCTAATGCAAAGCCTTACCTTTCCAATTTTTCCTCGTCTATTTGTATGTGATATGAGGTCGTATATAGTCCAATACTTGTTTTGGCTGAAGCTATATCACAATGTACTGTGATGGCCTTTGCAGAGCGCATCCACCGTAGATTCAACGTCCACATTGCCGATTCCAAAACAATGTGAATGAAGGAAAATGCGATATGGGATTGTACGTTCATTAGGGAAACAGTGCACATTTTGTGCTCATGTACGTAATAAATCGAGCAACAAGCCAAAGAAAAGGAAAAAAACGCATTGAAATTCACAATGCAGTGGGCTTATACGGTGGAGCGTCTAATACAAATTATCAGGTCCAACAAAAAGGTATTTAAAATATTAAAAAAAGTGCCCCATTAAACTAACAAGATAAAATCTGGAGCTTTCAATTTTATCCTTTCGCGTAGTGGGTCCATTTGCGTTAAATATTCTTAAAGCCCAAAAACATTTTATATGTCGCATACTTTATTGAAGGCTTTTGAAAACTGGCCCCGCGAAATCATACATAATCCATAAGGGCCAAGGCCTTCGAAAGGTGATATACCTGCGTCTGGTGAGACGTAAATCTGATCTCAAAATAGTTGCGAAGTAATACCATCTATGCACCCTAGCCTCATGCAACAACACAAATTATATCTTGGATTTTGTAGGGAAGGGTACCTTGTGCCCACCACCTTCCCTTCAACATTTGATTGGATAAAAACAAAGAGACCCACTTGTGACTAAGCACAGTTTCTAATGTTTACAGACGCAATTTGTACGAAAGCGTACAGTATAGCCCCCCCCCCTTGACCATGGTCTTGACCTCTTGTAATAACAATAAAGTCGCGAACGTGGGGTTCAACATGTTTCAAGAACAATCAAGAACAAGAAGAACGAGAACGTTCACGATAAAGTTATTGTAGCGGCAGAAAATGAAGGGGCTAGTAATCAAATCCCCATGGGGGGCTCAATTTTGATAAAACCAGATATGACATTTAGATATGTGATAAAACCGCCCATTTTGAGTATGATTTTGGTGTTAAAACCGGCTAATTCGCAGTAGTTTTGTCGCTACAGGCTCCCCAAAAAGGTGTCTCCAAGGACCTTTAAACGGGGAAACAGTTGCTATAATGCTGATATTCTATTGGTCAAGAGTGTGGAAAGGGCAAAACAGTTGTACAAACAGGCGTTAAAAATAAAACGTTCAAATTTAAAAAGAAGGATTTGTATATATTTAAAGAGTGATTACCCACCATCTTCCTCATGAGCTTCTTGTGGATGGTACATTCTACTAGCGAAAGCATAAAATTGTAAGATTTTCATATGATATCACAACAGAGCAGTTTTAACCCTACATGGGCCAAAACGACAAGCGCACCTCGGCGAAATTGGTGTCTGGGTCGAGGTTCCATGCCCAGAGCACCCGAAAAACTGTGCTTTTCCCAAGGCGCGTCGCCTCTTTAGTTCGATCGCGCGAGTCCCACCCTCCACTTCTGCCTGCTTTGGCCTCGGCGACGAAATAACCATATACATTGCAAACTAGGGTTTTCTCGCCCGGACTGAGCTGGTGTCTGCGTTGCACTGCGCTTCCTGAAATGAAAGAGATGAAGAGTCTTAATTTATGGAAGAAGGAGCTACGAAACCTCAGCTTTCTATCCGCGCCCTTTGCACTTAATTTAAGGCTATTTTGGTGAAGTTATCGCCGATTATCCAAAGATAATAATTTATTTCGGATTAGCTAGCCCCATCATTTTCTGCCGCTATAATACCAACTGTGAAACGTTCACATATACTTTTACGGACCTTCCTTCCAATTTTAGTGCTAACCTAATATCAAATTTATCATTTTTGAAGATGCTCAGGATTTGCTTAGCTGTATCCGGATAGTAGGTTGATCCCATCATAATATTTCTGACACTTATCAATTCGTCTCACAAATCAGCGATGCGTTCTTTGGAAGCTCTCATCATAACGCTGGTTGTTCTCCTCGCCTGTAATAGTGCGTTCTCTATAGCCCAAGGACTATCTCTCTCAACCCACGCTATCCGGATGCGATCATTACAGGCGGGCATAACTCCCGACACCGAAGACAAAACTAAAGATTCGGAGGAGAGAAGCTTATACAAACTTCTTAAAGTACAATGGTGGATAAGTGCTAAGAAATCTGACGAGTACGTGAAGCAGGCGCTAAAGCTGGATGAGCTGGATGATGCAGCGTTAAAGGAGCATAAGAACTTAAAGTACTTTACTTACTTTCAATACGAGAAACGACATAATTTGCTCAGCAAGGCGTTCAGAAGAAACTTGCCTACCTTTGAAGTATGGAAGAAGCTCAATTTGGACAAAATTACAAGCCGGGACCAGCTCAAGGATATTTACCAGGCAGCTGACTTTAGAGCCTACAGTCGCTACGTGAAAATGTTTGACAACAGCGTGGTTGGGCTGGTGAATGGCGGTGTTGGAACTGTCCCACGAGTTATGATCGCGAGAGGAGCAACAGACCCGGAGATAACTGCGAGAACCATTCTTATGGCCAGGGAAGGGAGGAGCGATAATGTTGCAAAAGTTTTGCTGGGCTTGACTGAAGCTGATGATCCTTTCCGAGTTTTATCCGGTGCTAAGCTCATACAACACCAAGATTACAAATACTTCGAGCTCTTTTAGAAGGAAAATGAGGTGTCTGCAAAATCGAAGTCAAAACACCTGCGGTAACGAGTAACAAATACATGTCGAAGTGAAATATATTTCTGTGTGCTATGCTTTCGGTGTTATTAATACTACGGAGTAGCTATAGGGCAAAGAGGACACTTGCATTCGGTCACACCTCTGATTCGTTTGCTGGGGCCAACAATACAGAAATCCCCTTGAATAAGCATAGCTTGCACCTCACATACCCCTTTATCAAACAGATTGTATAAAATGTTGACAAATCAACAATTGGTTTGATTTCCCTTTACAAAATTTATCAGATGACCCGTACGCTTTTCGAGGGGGATTTCTGTACTATAATCTATACAAATGGAGATGTTTAGCAGCACACCACAAATCGAGCTTCAAACAGGCGTTGTACCAGATCCGGGAGTGTTTTTTAATGTCATATTCTGAGATTCCGAAGAATTGTGGAGCCAAATAAAATGTAGTTTCACGTTCCAAAGCTACAGCCTCCGAGAATTCATTTAAAGTGAGATACTCACCAGAACAAATTATGTTTGTTGTAGTTTTCTCCAATTTTGCTGCCCGATTTACTGTGCCGATTTAAATAAACGTAGTGAAAGTCTTTCTGATTTAGGTATATCTGATCCGAATTATACAAAATGATTAGTGGGACGACATTCAGTCGATCCCGACGGCAAGTTTCGTATAGTTAGGGATGAAAGCGTATGCATTTTAACAGTGCTATGATAGCCCAATCGTGAAGACCAAAATAACCGTTTTAAGTAGTTTTAATCCGCATATAAACACGACACGTCCTATTCACTCGGGTGATGACGCAAATGCGACACCATTGCTACTTTGAGAAGTCAATACCTTCTTCTCGAGCCTCGTGCCGCAGTTTGCTCTATCACGTCACTGTAGCCAGAAGAGAATCCAACGTTGGTAGCGCTTGTCCGACAACAACAGGAACATGTAATGGGTTCAGCTCAGTCGTTGACTACCGTGGGGCAATATTTAAAGCCTAGTGAAAACCTGCTGACAGGACCTAGTGGGCCTTAGAACCTGCTGAAACCCTAGTGGTAAAGAGCATAATATGCAACGTCAAACAAAATGATACTTACGAACTATTTAGAGTTATCGAGATAATCGAGCTTAAAGTTGGTCAATTGATTTTCGGACTTGACCGAAACAGTGACATTTACTGAGAACTTCCATCGAAAAAACTGTAAAACTACCCTTATTCAATTGCTTTTAGCAATAGCTTTTAAATAATACTTAAATCTCTAAAATTGAAAAAAATATTGAGCTCACAACACTCCTAAATGTATCGTCATTTCGAGGGCCCATAAATGAAGATAATATTTTTGAGCGACCACAACTTCTTCAGTTTTGAGCATTCGGCAGCTCATAAGGGCTCAAAAGATAGAGGAGACGCCCCGCTTTCGTTTAGAGTACTTAAATCGCGATTCATGCTTAGGTTCATAAGTATCATTTTGTTTTGGGTTGTTTCATATGCTAAAAATACTGATAAACGCAAGCTTTGCATGGTCGTCACTAGATAGTGCTAATGGTCGCTAGGTTTTCAGTATGATTGAGTCTCACTAGGTCAGTAGTTCTTCACTAGGCTTTAACATTTCTCCGATCCCGTGTTGTTGATCGAATATTTGCCAGCTTAGACAATGACTGAGGTGGAACAGAAGTTCATGACTTGACTTCGTGGAGATGGCACGCAACGTTCAGTGTCTGGCAATGAAGCGCTGTATACTCAGTAAATTAATTTCAAGAAAAACGCCCTGAGCTAGAATACCAATAAGGCCCGCTTCGAGCACTGTAAGAGTGATAAAGGTCTCCTCCACAATTCTGGCTCGCCAAGTGGTCAGTGCTGCATACTGCCGCCCGTTGAATCTTCGTAATGCAAGTGTGTGTCGTTGCAGAGGTGGGTGCAGCGTCAACAGTTCTTCGACAAAAGACGGGCCTGTTAGCACGTGACAAGCGGACGTTTGTATCACTCAGCTCTCGCCGACTGTGCCTGGCTAAGGCTGAGGGCAGCTCGTCTTGACACATTGATAAATTCTTCTGTGTGCCTCCGCTAGTAGAACCACGAAACACCTTGTAATACTACGTAGAAGATACCGGTAATACGAATCCAGTTCATTGGTGATGGCCAGTTAGATTCATTGCTCTTCTTCCTTCTTTCGTGTAAACATTTCTGTGATGGCTAACTCTCTAAAGCAGCCGCTCTTGTATCAGAACTTAAACCCCGGGGCTTTTATTATCCCAAAAGGTCTTGAAGGCGTTGTACATGAGGTAGTCAGGGTCTTTTCTCAAGGCTTTAGCCGACATCGTCGCTTCTTTCTGAGCAATATTCAGGGTCTCCTTCAAGCTCTCAGGTGTTGTGTTGTCCTTCTTCATTTGCTCGAAAAAGGCGATAGTCTTCGACCACGTCCAATCCGTCGCCTGGCCGACCGTCGTACCTTTAGGAGGATTAAACTTTCCTTTATTAAACATTGAGTTTACTTGCTCGAAGGTCTTCCCCATGAGCTTCGCGTGCCAGTTCTCAAGAGATGCTAGTGACATCATTCTTTCTTCTCTGTCCGGGTTGTGTGTTCTTAGAGCTCGATTACTTTCACCGTTGTCTTTTGCAGCGTGGCTCATTCTTGAGAACTCTGCGTAAGTGTTGGGATTGGGATCTTCAGCGGTCGATGCATTCGTGTAAGCTGAGCAACTGATGTACATGCACACCAATAACAAGTGATACGCCTGCATAGTTTGCAAGAAGTTTGAGAGTCTTGAGCCTAAGCCGACAACTGGAAAAATTGAAAATGAATTGAAAACACCAGTGAGTGCTCCCGGAGGCTCCGGGAGCACTCACTGGTGTCCGGGCCGGAGCACAGGTGCGGAGCACTGCTCCGCACCTGTCACTGCGAGCTAACTGTATGTAGTGTGCCCTCTGCCAAAACGCCCCTCAGTTTTATGGTCCTTCGTACTGTAGGAGGAATCCTCCTATCCTCCTCTCTGATCGGGACCCTGATCGGGACCCGATTCGGGTGCGCTTTAGCCTAACCCTTTGACGAAAAAGGTTTTTTTTTCCCATATTTGACAAAATTTCATTAAAATACTAGTATGCGTTTAGATGACCGCTCATTGTTTAAGGTGTTGTCGACATTTCCTGTTGATGGTTTCCATCTCCAAAGGCTTCTGGCCGAGGCGCCCAGTACACCGGCAACTACGCTGATCTCAATATGGTATACATACTGCAAGACAATGCCTTGCCAGCGTATGTCTGATGAGTAGCCCATATTTGATTTAAAATCAATATGTTGTGGATACCTTACGTCAGGGTAAATGGCCGGCAAATACTGGTCATTCAGCCCTTAATTTGTAAAAAGGTACCCTTTAGACCAAATCAGAGCCCTTGCGACGTACGTAAGTTACGTAGGACCTCCACAATCAAGTATTAGCGGACAATGTCCAACGTTCATGGCACGTCCGGGACAAGCCTTAAACGTACGTAAACAGTGTTTATATACCGTACATGGACATGCCTTATATGTTCGTAAACAGGGTTTACATACAGTACGTGTACTGTACGAGTACCATTCAATATTTAAAATATTATGGTAACCAAAGGAAAGGGCTAAAATATGATGCTACCCTTTTGGCTAGCATCATATTTTTACAGGTCTCGTCGGACTCATAATTATACGAATCACATTACTTTGCAGACCAAAAATCATCTAATGCTAGTGCCTGAATTTAATACGTGGAGTGGTAGGAGTGAATATATATCACGGTACTCCTCTTCAAAAGTTTGAAAGGTCAATCAGAACACATAAGTCATGCAGGAGGCTGAGAGTCCCAAGATGGTTGGCTACTGCGGCAATGCTCCGAGCGAGTGGGAGCAGCTCGGGGAGAAGGTTTCCGCCATCCGTCCACGAATGCAATAGGTAGAAGGACTCGTTGCCAAGACGATGCCTTATATCAAGTCTATCACTATTACGAGTATGGCTGGCTTGCCAGACATCGACTATTTCGCTTACCGATGTGCATCATGCAAGAACTCACACTCATGAAACCGATCAGGAATCGTTGCGATGCAAGTTTATGTCTACGCTTCTGGTAGTGTTAGCTCATCTAATGTCGTTATGGTTTTGTTCTTTTTCAGCGGTCGACGTCCTGTTGCAGAGCTGTTGGCTGCGGCAATAAGTTCGTGCAATGCAGATCGAAATATTCGCTATTGCAACGTGAAGGCATCTCGATAGTTAAAGGCCGTAAAAACTCCACATGAAAACCTCGCACACTGTTTGTGCAGCCGTATTTTGACTTCTTTTAGAGGCCTCTCAATGCGTACAAATAGCAGTGGAGCTCCCCATTAGAAGTCTGGGGCGGAGTTTGGCGTCAGCATACGCTGACTTGGAACCGAGCCAACAATATATTGTACCGATTCGCGTTGATGTGCGAGCCGGCGTTTCTTTCTAGTTTGAGAAAGCTGCTGTGCTGTTTGCCTCTCAGCGACTCTGCGTTTAAACTCACGCAGCGTGAGCAGACTGCAGTTTAGCGCAGCGATATGCTTCAGTAAGAAGAACTCCTTGATCGATGACATGTCCATCCTCCATGTAAAGAGGCTCATTTCTAGCCGTGTCTCTTTTCGTCTGATTGGATTCGTGCTTCTTAGTTGGTCGACTCTTTCGACCACATTCTAGTAGATGCTGTAGGCTGCTATTGGCGCTGGTACCATTAGTATATTTCGGTGCAAGTTGTTTTCATTTGTCCATTGTCGAATGGGCTCTAAACCACGACACAGTTGGAATGCCTCGTGTGCCAATCTATTTAGCACGGTGTTCCGGTCAGATCGCTTGTATAAATTTTAAAGGGATATGTATCCGAAAAAACTAAAACAAAACCCGGCATGAGGTGAGAGCTGCATCAAGGACATAAAGCTGGTTCTCTGGCTGACGGGTAGGTTTTGACGCGCGCGCTTGTGGGCTACCTGGGCGCTACTCCAATCTTGCTGTACATATACAGCAGCTACCAGTTCCCAGCTCCCGCGCTCCAACATCTTCACGCGCTGAATTGACCTCACGGTTTCTATCTCATTCCACTTTACCGTTTGATTGATTTTGTTGCGTTTAGTAGAGGACGTGACGAGAAGACACGATTCGCTCACAGCGATAATTCGGGATTGCGGGAGGAGAAAGTACTCCAGTTATCAGTAGAATAAACTATTCAATACAAACATGAAGTAACTAGCTAGCTGCCACCGTATTGTTCAATCAGGGACAAGTAGAGCCAGGAACACGACACACATCAACTGTCGTTGCTCAATACTTCACACTCCCACTTCGTGTTGCTGCCTCTGCCACTTGCAGTAGTCACTTGTTGGTCACCATAAACCACTACTTGTTGTCCAGCACCGGCAACACGTTAAGACGTTCACGAAGTTTACAGAACTGCTGTGGACCGAGTGGTTTCGTGAAAATGTCCGCAATATTGTCTTCACTTGGACAATACTTTACTTGGAAGATTCCACGCTCCACAAAATCACGAATCTTGTGAAATGTCAGATCCACAGTCTTGACCTTGTAGCTACTACGCACTTCTTTAATCACTTGGATCACAGCTTGGTTATCCTCATAGAGAATTGACTTCTTTGTACGTCGGAGCTTCAGCTCAATGCACAGATTGTGTGTCCACATGATCATGTTTGAACACTCACTAGCTGCCACAAACTCAGCACTGCACGTATCGTCCGTAACGACCGGCTGCTTCTTGCTCTTGTAAGCAAACGTGCATCCATTCAGCTGTAGTACATAACCCGTGATAGAACGACGATCATATTTCTCGTTTCCCAAATCTGCATCCGCGTAAGCTGCTAGTTGCATTGCCGGCGACTCCGTTTTATACCACCCTAGCCCGTACCCACGCGTACCCTGCAGGTAGCGGAGAACACGTTTCGCCAACACAAAGTGTTCTTTTGTGTAGCAGTTGAGGAATTTTTCCAAAGTCCGCACAGCATTCGCGATATCCGGTCGCAAATAGCTAACTAAATACTGAAATGAACCCACAATACTCTGATAATCCACATCAGGATCAATATTCACACGAACAGTCTCCTTGTCAGGATCTCCTGGAAGAGGAAAATTGCCTTTAGCTTGTCGCGTTGGCATCGCCTTGCAATTATCCATCTTAAAACGCTCCAGCAATTGTACTACATAGCCACTCTGTGAAATAGACAGCATCTTGCCAGGAACGTACTTGATCACCATTGACAACAAGTGACTGACATTGCCCAAATCTTTGATCTTGTACTTTTTACTAAGCTCATCCAGTACAAGCTCGTTGTTCTGAATCATAGCTGCAATTACAATGTCGTCGACGTACAGAGTCAAAAAGATAGGACTTCGATTCACCCAGCGAAAGTAAACTCCACTGTCCATCTTGGATCTCTGAAAGCCACAATCTCTCAAATACTTGTCAAGTGTTTTGTACCAAATACGCGGGGCCTGCTTTAAGCCATACATACTTCTCAGCAGCCTGCATACACGACCAGCTCCATCATAAAAAAACTCTGGTTGGCACATGTAGATCTCGCAGTCAATAGGGCCATTGAGGAAAGCAGTCACGAAATCAACATGACGACACAGTAGTCCGTAGTGTAGTGCGAGCAGGAGTACCAACCTCACCGCCTCAGCACACACCACAGAAGCAAACGTCTCCCAAACGTTTAACCCATACTTCTGCTGACAACCTTTGATCGTAATCCGAGCTCGATGTCTCTCCACTTCTCCACGTACATTGCGCTTTCGAGCGAATACCCATGTGCTCGTTAACACATTGGAATCGTTAGGCTTCTCCACCAACCCCCAGGTGTTGTTACGAAGCAATTCAGTGTACTCCTTGTTCAAAGCCTCAATCAACTTGTCAGAGTCAGGTACCTCCAATGCAGCCTTCACTGAAGTTGGCTCCAACAACGCATTCATCGCTTGAATCACCAAACTTTCAGGAAGTTCAATTTCATAGTCGGAAAGTCTAGCATTTGGTCGACGGATACGTGTCGAGCGGCGGAACGATGTTCCTAGCCCAAGCTCTTCTTCGTCTGTATCTGACGATACATCTTCTCCCACTGAGCTTGGACAGCTTCTGTAAGTATCACCTGAAGCAATAGCATCAGCTTCGGCCTCCTCGACATCTCTATCCACATTTTCTTCGCTCACTGGAAAAGATTCAGGCCATTCCCTGAGAGGCATTGGGTAGTGGTGAAGCACACCCACACCTTCGTCAGGATTACCATTCTCTTCACATTGATCTTCATGATCAACAGAGTGAACTTCCTGCTGCAATGCACCGAATGGTGACAGCTAGGCAGCAGCCAACGCCACTCCCACTGGAGTCGAACTCGACAGTTTCGGTGTGGGGTATCCCACACTAACTGGAGATTGCTCCGCAACAGCACAGGCCCACCGCTTGAGCGTGCATTAGATAGTCGTTGTCCTTTTGCAGGAGATGCAGTCAACTCCTCATGAGTTACTGCCGCCATGACTGGCAGACGCACAAGTGGGATCACTTCTGGGAGGACGAAGCGGCCTCGTCGATATTGATTAGTCAAAAGCTGATCCACATAATCGTTATCAACAGTCCAATCTTCATCAAACTCCACAGACCGCAACTCGTGAATGTTACCAGTACGCAAATCTAAAATGCGGTACCCTTCAGAGTTCTTTGCGTATCCGACGAAGAGACCCAACTTACCAGGATTCTCCAACTTA